CCTTCCCTTCCCCACCATCCGGTCAGAACTGAAAAAGCTTCTTGGATGAGAAGTGAAATGTCTTCAGAGAAAAAAAACAGGAAGTGCCGCTGCCTCTTGAAAAACAAAAAAGCACCTTTGAGAGAACCGTGACCGGAGGGTTCCCACAGACGGTCTCTAGGAACGAACACTTGTCCTGCTGCCCAGCTGAGGTGGGGCACTGCCAGGGGACGCGGGTGGGGCCCGGAGCCCTTCCGCCCACTCACGTGATAGGCGCTGCTGCCCCCGCCGCTGCCCCCGTAGCCGTACTGACTGGAAGCCCACTGCGCAGGGGTGGCGTTGGCGTTCTGCCCCTGCCCCGTCACGGCAGCGATGGCGCTGAACATCTGAGAGGTCATGTTTTGTGGCAAGGTGTTGACGGCTCGGGTCAGGTCTGCCGGGACAGAGGGAGGAAGGCGGTTAGGAGACACACACACCCCCCTCTCCCCGGTTCCTCTTTATGCGCGAGGGAGGGAGGCGGCGCCACGGGGAGGGGTGGGCTCTGCAGAGACGTACCTGCGAGGTTGATGTTGGCGGGAGTGGCGTTGATGGAGGCGGGCGTCCGGGTGCGGCTGCTGCTGCTGGGAGTGACACCTGGGCAGGGAGGGGAGAAGAGAGGGAGGAACGGCCAGGTGAGACTTTCAGGAAGCTGCTCATTGGTGGAGATTCTCTCTCTCTCTCTGGCTGGATTGGCCCGAGGGGAGAAAGCGACGGGGGGGGGGGGGGGCGGGCTGTGGGGCGGTGTGAAGGGGGGGGGGCTGTTTCTCGCTCAGCCGCGCAGGAAGTGGACCACCAGGGATGAGGCCTCTGGGCTTTGTAGTCTTCTGGACAGGCCAGGATTATAACATAGCCATCATCTTCGTGAAAAACCCTCCAATTCTGGGACGCTGCTTGGTCTTAGCTGTGGCCCCCGGGACTCAGAGGCACCGGCGGGCCCTTTCAAGGGGGACGACTCCTGGGTGGGGAACCAGGCAGATCCCCCACCCCCCACTGCCCTGGTCAAGGCCAGAGCAGAGAAGCCTCAGCCCCCCCCCCCCCCCCCCGTCCGCCTTCCCTAAAGCTTCCAAGGCCGGGCTGTGCTTCAGAGCCTGGAGGGTGACGGGCCCCCAGGGGCCCCATTCCTGGCCTATCTTGTGAACTTGCTCTGCAGGGGCCCAAGTTAGACGTTTTAATGAATTTTTTTTTTAAATGATTTTTATTGCTTTTACTGCTTTAAAATGCTTTTGTAAGGATATTGTAATGTTTT